TTGGCAGGTGAATATGGAACAAGCCAAGCAAAAGCAACCAGTGCTGCCAGGAGGCTGCCATGGGGGTCATGGCCTCGGGCACACACGACACCTCTGACCACCTGGCGACCTTGAAACAGCCTGGTGTGAGGGCGGGCAGCGGGGAAAGCCATGCACTCCCACAGGAGTGGGAGCTTGATGGCAGCAAACGAGGGTCACACTTTACACTTTTTAGCAAATGCACAAGGTCCCACCTGCTGCTGAGCCACACTTCCACCCTGTTCAGAGATGTACCCACATTTCCTAACTTCTACTTGCAACACGCATTGGAAGTATTAAAACTGAAACCATTTTCTTTTCTTCTGTCCCCTAAATTAAATCATCTGAATCCAGAAAAGCAAGTGCAAGCTTACTTGCAGCCTTACATAGAAACTTGGATGGATTAGGAGACTGGGCTCATGACAACATTACTGTTGGAAAAATAAACCAGGCTAATTCAGTACTTGCTGGTTTGGTTTCTAATCTCTGCCAAGGGGTGCAATAACATTTGGCTGCTGCCAGAGTAGCTGGTTCTGTGCCAGGGGACAGCACACAGAGAAGCCCCTTGACAGGAAGAAGCCTGGATCAGGCACCCTGTGCCCAGAAAGCAGTTTGCAGAGCGAGCACATCAGGAGGAGGCAGCCTCAAGGCAGGGCAGAATGGACTAAGCTAAAGGTGAGGTGCCTGCTACATCCCTCTTGATGGCATAATGAGGGAAATTTAGAAAAAGATTGCCTTGGCACCAGCCCTCCAGCTGAAGAAGGCCACGGGATGGAGAGCTGTAGCTGAGATGGACCAGGACATACAAGACAGTACTGAGAAGTCAACAGCCCAGGCTCCAAGGCTGATGCTCTGTGTCTGGAAATTCTCTCTTGCACCATGCACATCAAAGGCAGTGTTTTACTCTAAAAACCAAACATGCCTACTCAAGAGGATTCAGCTGACGCTTTTGTGTTACTGACTACAGAACATAACCAGCAAACCATCCACAAGAGCTCATTTTCTGCCATCACACCGGAGATGCAGAGGCACCTGAACTGTGGGGATGAAGAGGTGAGGAGCACTTTCAAAGACAGCAAAGACACACATGGGTTTGCAGTGAGGACCTAGTGCTTCAGGTTCATGAAATACAAAAAGGGTGATGTGTCCTACCTTGTCAGAGGACTTGCCTCTTCAAGCCTAGCCCTGCGGGACCGGCTGCAGTCCTGTGAGCATCCCACAAGCACAGACTCAGCACAAAGCCCAGATGAAAGCCTTACCTGGTCCCGGCAGCCCAGGGATGCTGAAACAATCAGGGCTCACCCCAATCAGCTGTGGGCACTTGGTGGCCAATAAGCACACCACTTCCAGGTGATGCTGAGGGGAGGACATGGCCCTACACGGTTTGAAATACACATCCTTGACAACAACCCCTTGATAGATTCCTCAATGAACACAAAATATTATGCAGCTTATGGGATGTCATGCTATAATTGCATATATTAATTTGAAATCGTTTGGCTTCCAAATAACTGCTTAGTCTGTTAGAAGTAGATATTGCAGGTGGAGGAAATTCCAGGTGCTCAAGCATCCTCCGTCACTAATGACATGACAACTCACAAGTTTCTGTTTGCAAAGGATGTAACAAATAGTTGTGAGTAGATCAATAGTCTTTTTTTAATGTTTTTAAAAAAGCAGGATGTTGCTGCTGAGCCCAGAGGAGCCAAAGCTCACAGCTAGACTGAGCAGGGGACAATGGGCCACAAGCAGGCCAGCTTAGGAAAAGAGGTGGGTGGTTGCATTTAGGAAGCTTTTTAAACTGCGATTCATTCCCCTTGTATCAATCATTTACACGTAGCAACAGAGGATGCAAAACAAACAGAGAACCATAAAATTTTGCAAAATAGGTATATTTTAAAATTTGAACCAAATACAGTTTGCATGTATTGCATGAATCACATGCAGGTGAACACTATAAAAGATAAAAATACCTGTGCACATACTTTATAAATCCAAGCATTTATATATAATTTATAAAATCTTCATAGCATAAAACAGCTGTAATGCAGAAGAGAAATTTTACATGCTGCATGAATGTCCCCATCAAACTGTGCCTTTCTTGGGACTAACTGATTCTACTCCACAGCTTAAATGCTCAGCTTGCTGTCAAGTTTTTCCTATTTTTGGTCCCATCAACTGTGATGTGGCACCTCCACAGGGCTTCAGCTCTGCCATGCAGCTGTACATCATAAAGCACTCTTAACAGAAGGTATTTGGAAGGTGTTTTAGAGCCTGATGGCAGCATTTCTGTGGTGTGTGGGAGGAAGAGAGGCTGAGGACGGGGCCCCATGGCTTTGGTGGCCCAAGTCCAGCATTCACCAAAGGGCAGGTGTGAGTGGACGTGTGCCCTGCTAAAAGACTCATCGAAGCTGCTTACGTACACATGTAAAGTCCACACAGCCTGATTTAAAACAGTTTATCTGCAGCCTGGTCAAATCTAAAACTGGTTAATTTTTCTGCCTGCATTTCTTCTGGAGATGACCAACCTGATTTTAAAACCACACGGCTCTTTCATGGCACACCTCCTGCTCCTCAGTCAAAACTCTCAGCTACACTTTTGGAACTTAATTATATTTATCAAGTGATTAACTGATGGCAAAGCATCTCCTTTACATTCTTCAGGTTGATTTTGCTTGCCACCAAGAAGACAAGCATACCTGGTTAAAAAGCTGGCTTTCACTGTACATTCTGCCAGGAAAGGCACAGGGGTCATGCTCGAAGCTCCATGGTCATCATGTGTTACATTTATCTAGTCAAGCAGACCACATTCACTGCTGTATTTCTCAACAGCTCATTGGTCCAACAGCTGATAAATATTTTTTTAAAATAAGCAGCCTGAGTTATAGCAATGATCCTCCTATGAACACTCAACTGCTATTCTACAAGTGTATAATGGTAATGCAAGATGCATGGAAGACTAACTATAATGCTGTGCAGCACCAGAAAGTGATAGCATCTTATCATCACCACACGTTGTAGTCACCAGAGTCACCACTCAGCTCCTTCCACAACGCAGTTTAAGGACACTACTCATCACCCCTGCACGGTAGGAAGGACTTTTTCCCATCCCCTAGACAGGGAAGCTAATTTGGAATTAAACAGTTTGAACACAAGCCTCAACATTGTGGTAACAACTCTGCTCAGTTGTATATAGGCAAAGGATCTTTTAGTGGATTTGTTACAAATCATTTTAAATGTTTTCTGTTGGATTTTTCTTTCTTCTGTTCTACTGTTTTGTTTGTTTGGGGTTTTGTTTTGTTTTTTTTAGGGATTGCAGTGGGTAAAACCACACACAGAGAAATAGCCAAGTCTGGCAGTGCCCTCAGAAGACACTATGACAATAATTATCAGATTTCTTTAGGAAAATGCACAGGTACACCCAAGTGTGCCTGTCTCTGATCTCTGCCAATACTGCTTGTTGAAGAAACCTGCTGTGTTGGCCAGCAGGATGATTCCACTGAGGCTTGACAGCAGAAAGGTGCCAGCGATTGAAGAGCATCCACCTCCCTCCACATCACTTTCCCATCTTCTGCCACTCCTCCTTTGCCCCCCGTCTGCAGGCGTTAGCTCTGCATGTCCCAGGGACAGAGCTTTTCTCTTGGCTGGTTGCCTCTTCCCCGACCCGTGCAGCCATTAACTCACCCGTGCCCCAAACACTAGCCCTTCCTTGGCTTGCTCTCCTGCTTCAGCAGGAGCAATCCCACAGCCAGACAGGTGGTTTCAGAGTCCGCAGAACCATGGGGTCAGTGTCCCACAGGCACAGCCATGCTTCTTGGCACTCCCAACCCCATGGCAAACTGGCCACTGCTGCTGCTCTGGCAGGGATTTCGGCTTTGTGCTCTGTGCTTGTCATCTTTAGCTGTCTGGGGCAGGGGTCTCTAGTCATGGGACACAGTGGGGTCAGTGACTTCTAACCCGAAGTTATTTGTGTACAGCAATTCCTGTGACTCCTCTAAATTGGGTATTTTAGGCCAGTTGTGTTGGGTTTGCACGGCAAGGTTTGGTATCAGGGGGCTACAGGGGCGGCTTCTGTGAGCAGCTGCTGGAAGCCTCCCCCATGTCCCCAGAGGCAATGCCCGCCGGCTCCAGGACGGACCCGCCGCTGGCCCAGGCCGAGCCCGTCAGCCACGGCGGTAGCGCCTCTGGGATAATGTATTTAAGGAGAGAAAAAACCCACTGAGCAATTGCAGCCAGGAGAGAGGAGTCGGGATATGGAGAGCAGCAGCTCTGCAGAGCCCCGGTCAGTGCCGGAGGAGGGCAGGAGGGGCTCCAGGCCCGGGGCAGAGGTTCCCCTGCAGCCCGTGGGCAGCCCATGGGGAGGCAGCTGTGCCCCGCACCCAGGGGGGCCGCGGGGGAGCAGAGACCCACCTGCAGCCCGGGGGGACCCCACGCCAGAGCAGGGGGTGCCCGGAGGAGGCTGCGACCCCGTGGGAAGCCCGCGCTGGAGCAGGCTCCTGGCAGGGCCTGTGGCCCCGTGGAGAGAGGAGCCCGCGCTGGGGCAGGTTCCCTGGCAGGACTTGTGACCCCGCGGGGGACCCACGCTGGAGCAGCCTGTGCCTGAGGGGCTGCAGCCTGGGGGGGGACCCACGCTGGAGCAGTTTGTGAAGAACTACAGCCCATGGGAAAGACTCATATCAGAGGAAGTTCATGGGGACTGTCTCCACAGCAGAGCAGCAGAGACAACATGTGATGAACTGCCCGCAATTCCCCTTCCCTGTCCCCCTGCAGTGCTGGTGGGGAGGAGGTAGAGAAAATTGGGAGTAAAGTTAAGCCTGGGAAGAAGGGAGGGGTGGGGGGAAGGTGTTGTAAGATTTTGTTTTATTTCTCATTATCCTACTCTGATTTGATCGGTAATAAATTAAACTAATTTCCCCCAGTCGAGTCTGTTTTCCCTGTGACTGTAATTGGTGAGTGATCTCTCCCTGTCCTTATCTCAACCCACAAGCCTTTTGTTATATTTTCTCACCCTGTCAGGCTGAGGAGGGGAGTGATAGAGCAGCTCTGTGGGCACCTGGTGTCCAGCCAGGGTCGACCCACCACACCAGTGCAGAAAGGCACAAAACACTTCTTGGTCAGGTTACCAGCCTTGATCGACTTATCGCATCTCTGAAAGGGTGGTGCCATACGTTGCTCTAAGGAAGGCGTTATGCTCATATCAGTCCTAACAGCTTGTGCAGCAGTGGCACAATCACAGTCGCACTGAAGCCAACTGAGGAGTACGTTATAAATTTATATGGCACTTCAACTTCCAGTCGTCTCCGGGCTTCCAGGTCGCCAATGGGAAACTTGTACCGATAACGCAGCATGCCAAGGACCACACTCTTCATGAACTGGCGTGTCAGTAGAACAACAAAGATCCCTACAAGGAACCTGGCTAGCACAACTACCACGATTTTACCGGTGATCAGAGGAAATCCAAGCCGAAAATTTTCACTGGTGTAGGCTGGTGCAATATACTGGTTATTTAACCAAAATCCCACAGTTGCTCCAGCTCCTGCTCCTAAGATAGTAGTGGTGTCTCCCCTCGTAGGGCTGTAATAGTCTAGTTTGGGGTAGTTGTAACATAAGACGAGAGGTACAACTATGGAAAGCAGTGGACAGAAGGGACTAGTTAACAGCGAGTGATCTATCATGTCCCACGCAGGATACAAGAGCACAAGCAGCACAGCCGAAATCAGCGCTCCGCCGATCACATCCTGCAAAGAGATCATGTTTAAAAGTTTCGTGAGACCTACAAGGTAAAACAGATATTCTCAGGTGATGAAAAAAGACCAGTATCTGCATTCGTGGGTGCACAGCAGCAGATGAATGCCCTGAATTCACAGTGATGACACTGTCCACACACAGTGACAACCCAAAGCCTGTGCTAAACAAAACATGACAGTCCACAAACCCAACCTTAACTTTGTCAATATGACTGTATCTATTGACCCATATTTTTCCCCTGAACAAGTGAGATTCTTCCCCTCGCTTTCATGTTTTAAGGGCACTCTCCACCTATGACCTCAGTGGAAAAGGCACATGCATAACTCCATCTCAGGAACGATATCATGATAAACGGCCTTCACACAAATCCTTCCCCTCCCATAATCCTACAAGTAACTTCATCATATCAGTAGGATTATCACTTGCTTGCTTTGCATAAATAGAAAGATGCTGCCTTTTGTCAGAGACAAGTACCCAATCCAGGAAAGAGCTGCAGGACGTGGTGCGCGTGCCATGATTTCTGCCAACCGTGGTGAGACGTAGGCACGGCCGAGTGGGAGTACATCAAGAAGAGATTTGTTGCCCAAGCCTATGAAATCCAGCTTGCAGTAAAGTGCCTGAGGCAAAAGCATAGTTAAAACCTAATTTATTAACAGAGGCAAATAAGGTATTTTGAGAACTTGATTGTTGTCAACCGCAAGGCTGGGAAAGGAGACAAGAGGTAACCCCTAACAAAAGCTGTCTGTGTGAGAGCAGCCACATAAAAAGCAATATAACAAGTTTCCCTGTGCTGCTCTCCCGGCATCACTCAGGAGGCATCAGTTTGTACTCTGACCATGAAATGCACTTCAAAAGCTGATCACAGGCAGAAACGTCCTCTTCTCAAGATTGTATCTTTTTCACTGAGTCATGACAGTTGACCAGCCCATGCTTGGTCACAGTCTAAAATGAATTATTTATGAGGACTTCACTTATAGTTAGGCAGGAATGAGGGGACTTTTTCACAACAGAAATATTTAATGGCTTTCTGGTAAATACATTACTCCAGTATGGCTGAACTTTAGCTGTTTACAACTTCCAGGCAATAGATTCATAGCACACTTGATTTTAAGCAACTCCCAGAGTCATTTTGCACATTCTTAATACAAATTCTTTCCTCATCCATGACATGAGGGTAGCCATGGGAATACACAAAGTTGTTCACAGATATCTAATATGTAAAATAGCATTAGGTGTCAATATTTCACAATAATCCATCTTTTGATACCAATTTTTAGGTGATAACTTTACACACAAAAGCATGGTTTGGCCTAACACCAAGTAACTGCATCAACACAAAAGAGCTGGGGGTTGCTCCCAGCACTGATGCTCAGAAATCCCATGACCACTGTGAACCTCCATTTCCCACCCCACTATTTGTCCACCTCATATTAGAAGAACAAGTCCTGACATCTCAATACCCCCTCCATATGTGATTAAGGAGTGAAACTCAAAAGCTGTTCACATGGTTTTCTGTTCCAATTAAGGACATTTAACCAAACATTAACATTCCCCTAACAAAGGCTTTGCTCAGATTTACCCAGCTGACTACAGCAGTTCCTGGCTGGGGCACAGACAGCCTCTACTTACGGACCTGATTAAAGTTTTCTGAATTTTATTATACTCCTGTTCAGCCCCAGTACAATAACACAGTTCCTGTAGTTTTCAAGCAGGACCCAGACAACCACCTCTGCTCCCAACCAGTGGCCTTCAAAGTGGGTGTGCAAGACAACACATTGGGCTGAGTGAAGAAAATACTTTTTGAACCACTATTAAGTAAAATAAGATTTAAAAAAAAAAAAAAAAGGAGTGCTTACTTCCCACCCCACTATCTCATCCTTTTAAAATTTTTATTTCTGTGTGTACAATGTACGTATCGGTAGAGTAGTACATGTATATGTATCATTCATAAGTAAATATACATATATTGGGGGTGCATGCTCAAAATTTTTTTACTGATCACAGATGTTTGGAGACCAGTGGTTTATGCTGTTTTTTCCCCATATCCACCAATATACGTGTTTCTCATTCTGGAGGCTCCTTACTGGAAGGTGCTGGAGAGCATGGGACATCCACAGCCACAGCCGCCAGTAGTGACTCCCTTGGCCTCTCGTATGCCCAGGCAGAGGTTTGATTTTCTGAACACCCCAAGGAGGTGGATGAGCTCAAGACCAACACTTTATAAAAACATTTAGCTGTGCAGAATTAATGGTTTTCCTCCCTCACCTGTAAAACTAAGGAAAAGATGGGAAGAGGAGGGATGGCTCTGATTTCTGTGAGAAAAACTGCTTTTCTGGACTCTCCCTACTGTGCACCCAGGAGCAGGACCTTAGCTTTTCCCTGCTGTTAGCACTCCCAGGAAGCACATTCTTGCCTATCTACCTGTGTAAACAGATTAGGCTCTTGCCAAACCCGCAATTATAAAGGAATTTTTAAATGAGGGCAGGCACGCATTTTGCTCAAGCACTACCAGCAAAGCTTAAATAAAACCTTCCGTTCCCTGCTTGGACACTCCAGCTCCCTCAGCACAGACGAAGTCCCCCACAAGCTCCATCCCTCCCAAAAATCCCTCCCGCTGCCACAGAGCTTGGCCCCAGTCCCCCACCACAGCACCCCCCTGCCTCCCGCACAGAAACAAGCAGCCGCCCAGGTTCGACACAAGGGAGGCCTCGTTCCTATCGATTTTAACTAGAGAGCTGTCATTTTGCTTTGCTACCTAAAGAACAAGCCAGTATCGAGTTTCTAATGCTGCAAGTCATTGAGGTTATTTTCCTGTGCTACAGGTACATAAAGAAAAACAACAGAGGTAAACATCCAGTTGCATGCAGTGCCTGGGATTCAAGACGGGTGCTTCAAAATGCTGTCTGCTGGACTCTTTTTTTTGTTTCTCAAGGTCCTAGAGCACAATTTGTTTTAGGATTGCCAAAGCAAGACCCTTCTATGCTCTTTCCATTGAAACTACAGCTGGAATTGCAAATACTCACAAAATGCCCCTAGAATATCGAACCAGCACCCCGAACACGGTGGCACTGAAGCTACTTCCCTGAAATATACCGCCAGTCAAAGCAAAAATAACACTTCTATTCTGTCTTGTATATGGTCACTTACTGCCTGAACTCCCTTCATGCTTTCATTTAATGTGAGATGCTACTCGCTCTCTTATACAAAAATATCTTCCTTGCTTTCCACTCCTGAAGGTTACTCTGTTTCATCCCACAAGGACTGTTCTGCCACAGTGTGTAAAGTGACACCAATATGTTGTTTATCAACTTCAAAATATTTCAGATAATTTCAGTATTAACGGTGGTGTTAAAAAACCTGAGGTACAGCACAGCGAAGGAACATGGTGGGGACTATGGAGTACCCTCTCCTGAGGGTGCTGTAATTGGCAATAAATGCATCAACACTGAATCAGTATATCTCAGGGAAACAAAAACAATTTACTTTGTTGACAGAAAAAACTTCCAGTTTTCTTTCTGGTCATACAAAGTGACCTTTTGACTTGTCCCTGTATCTTATACCTCACCCTGGCTGGCACAGGGCATCACTGCTTTTAACCCAGGGCAGCACAGATGGGAAGCTGCAGTACCAGTAAGATTGTCACACCATCAGCTGTGGCTCGGGTGTGACTGGAGAGCCAGCTCTGCTGCCACAGCAAATGCCAAACCCACCACCCTGGTGCATTAATAAATTCCTACTGCTGGCCCTGAAGGGTTAAAAGACTAAAAGCCTCCCCTCCTCCTCCTGCTTTGGGGGCTTCCCTCAGCTGATGAAGTTCTTCCTGATATGATCTGCAGTGATCTTGCTCGCATCTTTCTAGAATACTGTGCACTCACACAAACACCATCGCTTGTCGTTTCAAACATGAGGTGACTCAGACATGCTCCAGCAGCAGTGAAACAGGAAAACTTGTTCACCTTGCTAAGGCAGGTATCAAAAATTGGGCCAAGGTTTTAAGATGGAAGGTGAAGGGATATTTTCTAAAATACAGTTCTCTGGGGAAAAAGCAAACAACAAAAAAGATTCAGTCCTATTGTCTCCAATTGGTTTTTGTTCCTTAAAAAAAAGCTCTAAAAAGTTACAGATTCACTGCTTCAAAATGTGTCCAAATTTTTGCTTTGCCCTTTCCAGGTAACTCCAGATCCTCAGACTCCACCATTTAAGACCTAAAAGGAAAGACCCTGCTTTTCCCCTGCTTCTCCACACACATGGGATATTCTCGTGCTGAGGTGGTGAAGTGGGTTGGTGTAATTAAATTATCTCTCAGCACTGCAAGTGCATTGCTTCCATGCCTTTCTCTGGCTGGGTGATGCTCTCCTGGTAACAGCCCAGGCAACAGGTGTTTATTCCCTTTTCCCTCGGCAGAGTATTCATTCTGATATGGCTACAATGATGTGGATAGCTCTCATATCAGCTTACTGCCTTTCCAGAAGGTCTTTAATGGTCACATCTCTTCTACTGACATGACTGCTTTTTGAGGCTGCTCCAGATCAAAAGCAATGCCAGCAATGCTGAAATACAGACTGATTTGTAGAGCTGAGGCTACAGAAGACAAGCCCCCACACTAGACCTTCAGCTATGGCTGTAGCAAAGCACAGTGCAACCTTCTTGCTGCTCCTTCTCTGGTTCCTCAAACAGGAAAAATTCAGTTACACTAAGTCAGGGAGTATATGTTAACTGTTCATTTGCTTTACTAAAATATTACGATCACTTAATACATAATTATATCCTGTCAGTATTCATCTCCTATTAAGACCTCAGTAAAAAATCCATTAGACAGGCTGTTTCAGCTGGTGGCTTGGCTGAGCAGCTGCTGTGCCTTGGTGGTCCCGTGGCACCTTGGGCAGCTCAGGGTGGGAGCCACCCCTCTTAAGTGTGGAAAATGGCTCTGAACTGAGAGAACCTGTCATTGCAGGTAGGATGCTGCCACAGAGAGAAGGGTTGCAGCTGGGCAGCTGTGATCATCAGGCACTTCCCTAGCTCTGGCCCCACCATGGCACACACACGATGAAGACCCCAGTGAAGTATATTTGCCCTTTTGAAAGGCAGAAATTCTCACACTTCAACTAAGGAGCTTTTTTTCTAAATTTTAAAGCATATTTTATCATGTCAAAGGCACAAAGGACTTTTTCTTCTTTACCCTAAAATCCATCTAAATTTAGAGGAGTCTTTCATTACGATGGACCAGCATGGGAAGTATGCAAAGAATTTTTACAGACTGACTTAAGGTCACTAGCCAAGAAAGGGTGTCTCCAGCTTTAATTTAAGATATTGTTTTGATCCACTAGGCCTGGAAAGGAAGGTCAAGCTATATTTTATAGATAACCTTAATCTCATAAGGGGTCCCTTTCTTACAGTCATCAAGTCTCCTTATTACAGACATAATTATTACTCAGTAAAAAAATGCAATTATTTATACATATGCAACCAACCAACAATGCATATCAAACTCCTGCAGGGAAGTAGCCAGGAGTTTTTACCCATAGTTGGGTAGCTGGACCACCCCTCTGACCACTATAGATAACTGATCAATAATGTTCCCTCTCATCAGGAAGGAACCAGCTACTGTGTAATCAAAGTTACACTGCAATCTATTCTTAAAACAGGACTGATATCTCTAAAAAAATGTGCCCAACACATCTGTCTATAAAGCCACAGGTATTTTATGGTTATTTTTAGATGAAGTATTTGTGCATCTCAGTTCTTTAAGAATGAATTTCCTTCCAGCTGAAAACAAGAAGTTTGTCATAATACTTTTTTAAGTGTTATGTCCCTGTATGGTAACACGAGACATGCTGTGCGCCAGACCCCCAAAGGCAGCTCACTTGTCATGTTTTACCCTCTCCTCTCTCTGATGGTCACCGGTGTGACTCACCGACCTGCTATTCCTTCTCTGACACTCCCAGGCTAAACCAGCCCGGAATATTTCTCGCTGACAGCAATGATACTATTGCACAAAAAAGGCTTAGCGTCAGTTGCCCAAGTGCATTCCTCGCAATTAAAATTTCAAAATAGAGAACTACAAGTCAGAAGCCACACCAACCTCACCCAGCTCCTCAACCCACACACACCGCTGCTTCCCTAATGGTATAAATAATTCCCCTGCAGACTCAAATAGCAATAGCCTGAGGGTTTTCTCACACCTGCCTTTGAATGTACAGTCTGAAATTTAGTGGCGTGACTCCTATATTCCTGCAGTGGCATGGCCAAGGCAGGATGTGCATCACTTGAAGAGTGAGATGGGAATCGCTGCAGGTAAGCAGAGCTGGAGGCAGGACCAGCACGGGGCGGCGCAGGGCATCCTTACCAGGACTGTGTGCATCCCTGTGTAGAGCCTGCTGAGACACACCAGCGTCGAAAACACAAACGCTGCTACCAGGCCTAGTTCGAAGGGATACTGTGAAAAGGAGGAAAAAAAAATACACCCATTACACCATTATCCACTTTAACATCAGCTTATATCAGAAATAAAACACCCAAGCAGCCAGACTGATGTCAGGATCTTGCATTGGGAAGTGGCTCATGAGCTGTACTTCCCTAAAGAGATTAATGTGACCTGAGATGAGACCTCAAAATGGCCAACATGCAATCCTGCTGGAATGTCGTTTTATCTGCGGTGCCTGCTTTTGCAAAGGTCTAATCTTAGTGTGGGGAAGCCTTGGAAATAGATGGCATTTGCAGAGTTTTTCTCCAATGTATCTACCTGCAAAATCCATGCCAGTGCTAAGGACATTAGGAAGAAAAGACAGGGGATGTTGTACAAGCGATGCCCAAAGCTGAACTGCAGCCTCAGATCGCCCGCTGGGAACCTGATAGCCACAGAGCCTGACCAGGAGCATGATCAATAGTCCTCAAGCAGTGGGAGGGGAAAAATCAATGTCTGGGCTGAAACCACAATACAGCTATTAGAGAAGCCAGGACCACTCTTCCTTGTGACACTTAAGGTTTAATCGTCTTCTTATGAAGCTGGTTTTGCTTAATTCCCTCTCTGAGTTGCTTACAAACATGGAAAGAAGGGTTGAAATAAATCAACATTTAAAAAGGAAAAAAAAACAAAACAAACCAACACATTTGGTAAAGAATAAGCTTAACATATTAGCCCTTAATCCACTCATTCAAATACCAAAACTGAGTGGGCTTATGGGCTTCTTTCAGTCCATAAAGGAGATTTTCCTGAAAAAAATAAACCAACCCAAAATATAAATAAGTTAAATTAATTAACCTGATTTGATGCAAAATCTCTGTCTACTGCTGAAAGGCTGATGACTGACCAGGGTGGCCACAGGTCAGCACAAAAATGCTTCTGTGGAAATTTTAAGCACAACAACTCACTTCTGACCCTTTCCCCCAGCATACCCTAGCCCCAAGAATAGAGAGCTCAGATCCAGCTGCAAATGTCACTCCCAGTTCATAAAACACTATTTTTTCCTCACTTCTCTAAGCCTTCAGAGGATTTATGCCCACTTCACTCCCCCCTCAGCAGGCAGCCTGGGAGCTAGTCTAGATTGGTAATTGATGACTAGGGCAGCTTGAGAAGATAGCAGCATAATGTACTGGTAGGTAATTCCTTCTTAATAGAGGCAATTAAATCATTTAATTATTTTACAGCAGCTTTATTCTTTCATGACAGTTTCCAAGAAGTACAAGACAGCCTGTGAAGAGCTGCATGTCCCACTGGTAGTCTATTGAGGAGGAGGAGAAAGTGCTGCTGACCAGGTCTTTTTGGCAGCTCTGACCTGGATCTGGCCTTCCAGCGCTGACAAATATCCCATCTCTCGGCACCTCCTCCCTGTCCCCATCCCACTGCCAAGCTGCTCCAACCACTTAGCATGCAATTAACAGGGAGCAGAAGGCTGGCAGTGCAGCTTTGGGCACCGCTGACCTGCTCATTCATCCTGCACTGCAGGCAGGAGCAAAGCCCACTGCTCCACATCTGGGACTGGTGAGTCTGGAAGTTAAATTAATTCAGAGATTGCTGTTTCTATGAGTTACAGCCCCATGACACAGCACCTTTCATCAAATGGGTGGCCACCTTCTGTCCCTGCACTCGTGCTGGCATGGTGAGGAGAACACCCAGGGACACTGTGACAGCAAGACATCCCCCAGCCATATTCTCAGTTATGTAGGTTTATCTTTGAAATACACTTGACAGGGCTGAGAAACACACTTAAATATGATACAGCGAGGAAGTTGTTATTGCTATAGTACGGGAAATATGTTTAGATTCATAAAATTAAATTAAAATAACCATCCTGGAGAAATGAGTTTCTGGGAAATAAGCCTTTAGAAAGATTAAAGCTAGAAGGTTTGGGGAAAGTAACGATGAGATCTCCCCAAGCAGCCTACAGCTCCAGTGCAGTGAAACTGCTGTTACTTCTGACAAACAGGCTCTCAAATCATGTTGTATGCTATCAATCTATCACAGGTAAGAGCCAGCATATTTCCAAGGATGCTTTTCCTGCATCATACAAAAAACAGGCGACACAGAGCTCCTTTGGTTTCCCTGGGAGCTGGTGCTCCCCAACGTGCAGCATTGGCTTGGTGGGCACAGGGTGAGCACAAAATGCTGATGCCAAGCATCTTCCACAGCAGTACCACAGCTCCCTCCATGGTCACCCCGCATGCAAAAACACAGCGAACCCACTAAACCACGGCAGGGCAGTGCAGTTCGCCCACAGCTCTGTGCAGGTTCATGCTAAGGAAAGGAGATTTCCGCTAAGTTTCTTCTTGTGTCTATTATCAGCCAGCTACAGGTAACAACAGGGAAAAATACATGTCTGTGAAAATAAATACGGAACTTCTCTGGAAGTGGCAAATAGCTTTGGATTTGTTAGTTTTCTGTAGCTCGCTAAAAGCAGACACATGATTTTCTTTTTCTTTTTTTTTTTTCCTTTTTGTACCCCCTACCTTGTACTGGTTCACAGTTGCAATGAGAAAGGAGAAGGAGATGGCAGTAGCTGCCATGGCGTGGGTGGAAGGCATCCCATACTCTGCATCCGTCCTCATTTCCAGCTTGACGACAGGTGGCGAGAGGGGCCGAGGCCACTTCAGGATGTCCTTGGAGACCTGGCCTATGTACATCACTATCTGGGGAGAGGAAAGGCCACAGGGCTGGTAGTCAGTATGAGCAACCCCCACTCAGCCCACCCAAGAACCACCTCTATTTCTGCACTTTTTTCTGAAAAATCCACCCCCCCGAGCACAGAATTTATCTGCTGAGTTATTAAAGGGGTTTCCATTATCCCCATCACTGAAGGAAGCAGCGGTTTTACTGCACCATGTTGTAACCTGATCAGAAGCGGGACCAAAACGGGGGTTCGCTGATGAGATGTGTCAATCCGGGATGGCATGAGAGGGACAGCTGGCTCCCACCCCTTGCTAGAGAAGTTTAAGTTTCCTCCCTGTCCCTTACAACCCCCATCCTGCAAACAGCTGTAAGTGAAATTTTTCCACCACCACCTTCAAATCACCACCTCGCCCAGCCATGTCCTTCCCAGCTGCACACAGCAGCTCTCCCAGAGCAGCACCAGCTCTCCTGTCCCCAGCAGCTTCCACTCTGCCCACTGCACAGGGTGCTGCAGGAACCCCGCGGGGATGCACCACCAGTGTGGTTATTAAATAACAACCCTGGCATCCTCGGGGAGGCAGCAGAGAGAAAACTGGACGAGCAAAATAAAGTACCAGTTCTCCTGCCTAACTCGGCAGCAAAGGCCTTCTGTGCACTGCTTGGGACCCCAATAAGCAAGGGCTCCATTAGCGACTGAGCACTGCAACACTGTGATTTTGGGGGGAAATGCTGCATTCTCAGGTCACTGCAAGCAGTAGCAACGGGAAGCAGGGCAAGCTGGCCAGCATCCCTGAGAGGTGCAGCCCATCCAACAGCACCCAGGGCACCCCCCATGCAGACATCCTCTGCTCCTCAGCACCCTCTTCCCAAAGGCAATGGGCTCTCAGCATCCACAGCGAGAAGGACATGAACAAAAGTCCTGAAGGCTGTCCTGGGAGGATGTATTTGCCACCCTCTTCACTTTGGGTAGTGCAGCCAGACATATACAAAGCCAGCTCTACAAAACAAAACAAATTTTATTTTCTTTTTTTTTTTTAATATAAAAATCGGGTTAACTGACATCTGCCATGAAAGTGCAGTTGCTGTGCGAGACAGCTCACTCTTCTGCTTCTCACGCTTCCACTAGAAAATGAGGGGTCTTAAAATAACATCCTTTCCATGCTGGTGTTAGCCATATGCCAGAACAGCAACATGATCATCCACTGCCACATTTGTCACCAGCCACATTGCACCCCTCTCTCTCCCACCAGCCATTTAAAAGATGGCTTCACATAAAAGAAAGACATCAGGATTTAGGATTCACAAATCAGGCCCAGGAAAAAGCCAAAACATCATGTTCCTTCATCCCCCTCTACAGCAAATTACATGTTGTGGGGAGTGCTAGGCTTACAGCCAGCACCAGAGGGTGGAAAAGTGACTGCTGGTGCCTTTGCATCCTTTATCCCTCATCAGATGAATCACATTACCACCTTATCATCAGCACCACCTGTGGCACGCCTGGCTGCTCCTACTTCACCCTGATACATGGGGCAAAGGGCAGTCAGCAAATACTCTGCCCTGGACTGCTCACAGTAAACAAAGGCTCAGAGAACAAGTGTCTTAAGGAAACCACTGCATGGGTTTATTTGGTTAAGGCCACCAGTTTTCAAATGGATGCAGGCACATCTCTGGAAGTTAATTAAATTCCAGGATTGAAAGCAAAATTACTCTCTCTGACAGAATATAAAACATTGATGCTACCATTTGTGATACCATCTGAGAGGCAAGGTAGGATGAGCCAGTTTATCAGCAGTCCTCTATAATAACGACTTCCACTTGTAGAAGTATTATTAGCAATAGTATGTAAGAGTATTACAGAAAGGGAAATGAGTCATCTTTGAAATGAAGGCTATGCTAGGAGTCCTCTGATGGTGAAAAGCAGGCTGAATGCTGGAGGTGGTATGGGTAAGCAAAAACACCAAGCAACCTCACAATGCCTTTCTTTCTGGCATTCCAGATTAAATTCTGACCCTTCTATTTTTTAAAAAAAACATACTGTATAGACATGTACAGTAATGAGAGATGAGACAACCTCCATAAAACATGAAGAGGATATGAATAAATTCAGACTAAGCACTGATCTCCTGAAGCACCAGACCTTTGCCTTTTAGCTTATTTTTGTTCTGTGCACATGGTTTTACATGCTGTGTCCTGGATTATTTGGCAGAAGCAGCAGTTGTGGATGCGGTAAAACATCCCCCATCAGCTGAACTGGCAGGCTTCCCTGAGAAGGTGAAAGATGACAAGTGCACCATTACTAAAAGCCTCACAGCAAAGGTGTTGCTGTGGTTCGCCTGCCTCTCCACGTGCCGCTCACAAGGGGCTGGAGGAGCACAGGACTGCCCAGGCTCTGCACTGACTTCGGCTCACAACACAGCAGAGCAGCCCAGAGCTCCTGCCGGACCGGCTGGTGGTGGGCAGAGGGGTGTCCTCCCAGGGAGCTGGCCCCACAGCATGGAGCAGGGAAGGCAGAGCAGCACCTGGGACCTGCATATCTGTGAACAACCCAGAGCATCAGCCAGTCCTGCCAGGGACCACCACAGAGCTGGCAACTGAGGGCAATACCCCTGATGAGTGTACTGGGCACGAACATCCAGAGTTCAGCCACAAATAGTAAAAACAAAAAAACCCCACCAAAACCCAAAAAACCAAACACACCCACCAAGTAGGAGGCCACCTCAGATGCAGTCATGACGTGACAAGTGTTTTGCAGAAACACACAGCATTATATTTCACTGCAGGATATATCTGAATTGCACTCTCATCTTCTGAGGGTGGTGGGTATCTGGCATATCGTCTCTTAAGCCACATTTCATTATTTCCTGACCTTGGTGGAAAATCCTCTGTCACGTTGGATTTACTGTCTTAACAGTTCTGGGAAAGAAAGCAAGCAGCCTGAAAGGTCTGGCCTGTTATCAGCTTTTTTCAACCTAGCAGATGAGAAAAGCCCTGTAATAAACATTGTGAACTGTAATCACTGGAAAGGAGAAGGGAGATGGAGAGCTGAACATGAGGGACAGGCTAAAGATCAACATAGAACTAAGCCCCACCTACACTTGACTTGAATTACCTATTTGTGCAATGCCAAAAATCTTTGATGGCCTTGGAATAAATTTACCATTGGCAGAAATTACCCCAAATCCAGACCAGCAAGTAACTCAGGATTGCTTAAGCCCACAGGACTGGGTAATTTTGCTGTGATTTCCAGCCTACCCTAGGTAAGCCAAACAGCACATTCGCAATGGCTTCGGACAGACAGCCAGGGGCGGGTAGGTTAAGGCTTGACCCAGGAGCATGTCACCTTGAAGCAGCTGATCGGCAGCAAGTTTATGAGTTTCAGCGTCTAAAGCAGGGTGACCCCTCAAGTCTGCAGTGCTGGGCTTCACCCAGCTCCCCTTTCTTCACAAGGGCTGGGAAGATTTAGGGAGGAAGGAGGGGCCTGGCTCAAACCATGTTTACCTAAGATTTAAATAAAACCCATTCCAAAAGTCTTTACATGCCCACGTACATTTCCACCCAAGGGGTCTCTCCAAGCCCAAAGCTGAATGTTGAAGAAGAAACAACAGGCCCTTCAACACTGAGTGAGCAGACACCATTTACTGTCTCAGAGGCACGGCAAAGAAGAGAAACCTTGAAGTAAATAATTTCTTCACACTTCATTGTTCCGTTTGTTTCTTCCTTATATTGTTGACATTTTTGCCTACCTAGAGTGCTATGTCACAGCTCTCGATGCTATTCTGTGTTTATTTCTAGCACAGGCTCTCTTCCACTCTGAGTGACGCAGATCAACCGAATTTTCTGGTGGAAAATGGTTTGCAGACATCTTCAGCATAAGTAATTTTAATTTGCACATTAATAACTACCTCTGGGGAAATTGTCTGAACCTGGAGACTTTTCCATTACTAAAGCAGCAAAATCAAAGCCATGATGGATTGTGTAGGACACAATTAGCTGGAGAAGATAACCACACAGAAATGCACGTGAATTTAGATGAGATTTCACAAAAACTGATGGGATGGGCATGGCTAATTCCCTTTACTCTGAAAGCTGACAGCAGCAGCTCTAACTGCCCTGTACCTCAGACTGTTCAAACTTTCCAAAATGAAGCTTAATCATTACACAACTGAGTTACAAAGAGGTGTTGGCGAACAAGGGAGGGGCTGCTCAGGCTGGCAGGGAGGGAGGGGAGCTGGAGTTCAAGGATGGGAAAGGAAAAAGCACCACAGGTCAGCACCACAGCCTTCCTGGGTCATTAGACATCCACGAGCAGGGCCCAAACCTGGGCAGAAACAAAGCTCTTGGGCATCAGACAGGTCCATACAGGGAACCCCCATCCCAGGATCCCCACCATGCTCTCCCACAGGAGAGCCCTGTTAGAGCAGCTAGGGGACTCTGCTCTACCTCTGTATTTGCAAGTCCTATAAGCTACGGTTGTGACAAATGCCACAATGTGAGTCCTTACTAAATATATGATGGCAAAACCAAGGTGGACCATGGCATGTGAGCAGAGGTGTAGTGGAGGGGTCACTGGCAACAAGCATGCATAATGCAGGGAAATGCCACTTTCCCTTCTGTATTGAGGTGCATGGATGCACCCACACAAGGAAAAGTTGCTCATACACTGCTGCCATAGCAGGGACCCTCAGGAAGTTATGTCAGCTCCCTAATACTTGCAGCGTCACTTGTCAGTGACATGGCAGCACCAGCTGGAGATGTGGGAAATAAAATGCAACCCCCAGTCCCTTCATCCAAAGCCACATGGGCCTGGCCCATGGCTGCAGGGCTGTCCCACATCGCTCCTCCCTGCCCCCAGAGCTCCCGGCTGCGGGCTGCACAGCTCCTGCATCCCCTACTGCTGCTCTGCCTCAGTGAAACACAAAGCGGGCACTGCATTCATGTGGCTGAATCAGTGAGCTGCATTCATAGGCAGAGGAGAACCCAGGGCTAGCTAGGCAAGGCATGTTTTTCCTCTCAAGGGCTC